CCTAGCTATATGTGCGCCAGGCGCGTCGCAGCGTAACAGTGTTTCGTGAGATATCGCGAAGCCTGTTACGCGAGACGTGGTCTGGCGTACATATAGCTAGTTTATATGTTGGGGGTCAATGGGGGCACATCCCGGTGCAAAGTAGTACTTTTGCAAAGAACTAAGGCATATGGGTTATCGCTTTCACCCCCGCGGTTCCCTCAGGAAGCAGTCTACCTGCAACAATACATAATTGGCTGAGCGATAGCGAAGCCTATTACTCCAGTGATGATCAAAAAGTTTCGTGTCTGTCTGTGTGTGTGTTTGTCTGTCATCACGATAACTCGAGAACGAATTGAGCTAGCGACCTGGGATTTTCAGGGTCGTTTTGTATCATAAAAAGACAGATCGAGTTCGAAGAAGAGCATTCTAGCTCAAAAACTGGATTTTTAAAAATTCGAAAACCACAGGTCCCCAAAATGACGTTTTTTAAAAATATTTTTTTAATGTTTCCTAAGGGGTAACTCATTAAAGTAGAGCCCTTTGGGCGAAAATTTCATCCGTTTGGCTCTATCTCTAACCGTTGAGGCGCTAGAGGGTGTTTTTGACGAAAATAAGCGAAAAAATGTACAACTCTGCATGCTTAGTCAAAGTGACGGGCCGTTAACGGGCCGGAGGCCCGTATCTTTGAGTACACTTTTGCACTACCCGACTCGGGTGCCAGCGCCGCAGGCCTAGGTAGATGTATGCCAGGCACGTCGCAGCGTAACAGTGTTTCGTGAGATATCGCGAAGCCTGTTACGCGAGACGTGGTCTGGCGTACGTCTACCTAGTACAGCATTCCCCTACTGCGCGCAGTCTGTTTCCCACTAAACCAGCTCTTTTTGGCTGAGCGATTAGCGAAGCCCATAACTCCACTGACCGGAAAAGTTTCGTTCTGTTTGTTTGATTGACTGTTTGTTTGCCTGTCTGTCCGCACGATAACTCGAGAAAGAATTCAGAGAGCGATCTGGGAATTTCAGGGTCGTTTTGTATCATAAAAAGACAGATCGAGTTCGAAGATGAGCACTCTAGCTCAAAACTTGACTTTTAAAAAAATCAAAAACCCACAGAAGGCAAAATGTATTTTTACCGAATGTTTTTTCAGGGGTTCCTAAAGAGTACTCGTGAAAGTAGAACCCTTTGGGCGAAAATTTCGTCCGTTTTGCTCTATCTCCAAGCGTTTGGACGCTAGGATGCATTTCTTGGCAAAAATAAGGTGAAAACGACTAAATGGTCTGTTAAGTCGCAAGAGAGGCCTTATATTGAAAAATTGTGCAGGAAGTAATACTAAAACCACACAGTTGACGTCGAACCACACCCTCCTTTAGGCTCAAGGGTCCCTAGATTATTTAGTATCACTAAAACGTTGTTTTTAGCCCGCCCTTCTGCTTTGAAAAAGCTATTCAGCGGGCTTATGCAAACGACCTCGTGTGTGTCTGTCTGTGTGTCTGTGTGTCTGTGTGTCTGTCTGTTCCACTAGAAGGAGATGTGCTAGAGACTTGAAATTTTCAGGGTATCTTAAGGTCCACTCCTAGAGAACGAAACGCCTACGGCAAATCCTGGCAACAACCCCTAAAGGGCTAAAAGGGGGTATCAAAGAAAATAAAGAAGGTCAAAGAAGTCAGAAAATTTTTTTTTTTTATGATCTTCTATGGGGTAACTCGTCAAAGTAGCGCCCTCTGGGCGAAGTTTCGTCCGGTTTGCTCTATCTTCTACCGTTTGGGCGCTAGAGGGAGTTTCTCTCACCAAAGTGGCCCAATAATAAATTTATTAATTTCCGAAAATAATGGATGGTCTCATATGGGGTAACTTGTCAAAATAGAACCCTTTGGGCGAAAATTTCGTCCGTTTGGCTCTATCTCTAACCGTTTAGGCGCTAGAGGGTCTTGTTTGACGAAAGTAAGTTAAAAATTGCTGTAGTGAACAAATTAATGTAAAAGAAGGCCCAAAACCGCAAAAGAGGTAAGAAACTTCCTCCCCCCACCCCAAAAAACGTTTCCTTAGCAGAAGGGTGGGTTGTAGTCGCGGTGTTTCACCGTTACATCCCTTTCTTGTGTATACGGGGCAAATTTTAAGGACGACGGGCTTTGCGGGCCGAAGGCCCGGTACATCATTTGATTATGTTCTACAGCAAATCGCGTGAAAGAAATGGTCGGGCCGCAGGCCCGACCATCGCCGCCGGCAGGCCTAGCAGGCCCGCCCCCTGCCGATCGGAGTTGCCGGCGCAGCGAAGCGAAGCTGGCAACTTCGTTTAGCGGAAGGGCTGGCCTGCTTGTTACATAACAATCTGGCAAAAGTCGAACCTTTAATGAAAACCGTTATGGAAGAGCAAAAGTTTCATGCATGTTTCATGTCCCTAATTTTAGAGTAATAAGTCCCCAACAAATGCTGTGAGTATATCAAATTTTGGGGCCGGAAGGCCCTGTTCCCGAATACCCCCCCATTAACTCGTCTCGGGTGTCAGCGCCGCAGGCCTAGCTATATGTGCGCCAGGCACGTCGCAGCGTAACAGTGTTTCGTGAGATATCGCGAAGCCTGTTACGCGAGACGTGGTCTGGCGTACATTTAGCTAGTGCTAAAATGCATGAGTTTCTTTCTTGTAACACTTGGGGGCTCGATCTGCCAATGAGCACCTTACCCCATTCGGCGGAACCATAACAAAGCAGAAGCCTCTAGTCGCTAAAATATCTCAAACGCCCTTATTTTGGTGTTATTTTTGATAAAACTTGTGTGGTAGGGACTTAATTTTTCACACCGAAGACGATAGGACTCCTCATTTTAACCGAAACTCACGAGAAAATTTGAATGTTATGGTTCCCACTACGCGCTGCCACCTCGCCACCGAATGGGGTAAGGTGCTCATTGGAGCGATTTCCGTTTTCTTGTTCCCCGCATTCTTCTGCATTTCAGCTTCACCGGAAAGCTTTATTTGGAAAAAACATTCAAATTTTGGGATTAGATTTGCAATGTTAAGACTGAACAAGCAGGCCCGCCCTTCCGTCAAACGGAGTTGCCAGCTCCACTTCGCTGCGCTGGCAACTCCGTTCGGCAGGGGCCGGGCCTGCTCGGCCTGCCGGCGGCGATGGTACGATTTACTGAAGTGCATCATCAAATAAATAATGTGACCGGTAAATCACTTTGCATATTGAGTAAAAATAAAGCGTCCTGTGGTGGGCCTGCGGCCC